CAGGCCAGGCCAATCCCGACCAAGAGATTTCCTCCAGAGCATATCCCTACCCTTTTTGCTGCAGGTAAGCAACTCTATCGCGTTGGGGAGTTGAGGCGCCGGGTCGCAACAGCCAACACCTTTTCCCGCAAAGCCTCGAGCGTCGAGATTGGCAGATATATATCGCCGGCGTGTCGGCGCACCCACCCACCAAACGGCTACGCATTGTGCTCGTCATTGACTCTTGCTTTTCTGTGTCCTGCTCTCATCCGTCGGCTGTAGCTGTCTTAAAATACAAGGGGCCGTCTTTCGCTCTTGAGTACTAGTAGTAGCTCCATTCCGGCTCCGGCCAGAAAAAGCACGCCAGCACGCAACCACCACCCACCTACCTGGTCACCTCGGCTCACCTTGGCTCACCTTGGCTCCATCAAGAGTCAAGACCAATCAATAGCACACTGACATCCGCAACCGCAGCCGCAAGCAACTCTGAAACTCGCTGGTGCACACTGCGCGCCAATACGCAACGAGCCAAGCCTAGCGCCAATTCTGATCGGGCTGGGGTAACGAGGCGCCAAGATAGATAACTCTGAAAAAGCTCCAGCGGAAAGCTTGGCTCGAGTCGCCGCCAACGGACTTGCCCGGCCACTCGAGAGCATCGACATCTCGAAGCAGCGCTCCCACCACTGAACTCGCCACGCTCTTGGGGGCTTGTAAGATCCTCGCATCCATCTGGTCTTGGCGACCCCGTTCGAGGTCCAGACACACACACCAGACTCGGGGCCTGGGGCGACATTCTCTCGCTCCGCAATTGTATCAAGTCGGGGAAAAGAAGAACAGCAAAAGGCCAGCCATCGCCCTCCGTCGCTGCCCGTCATTGTCATCACCGTTGGACACACCAGCGCAAGCAGACTTTTTTTTTTTAATTGTCCGAGACACTCTCATCCGTTTCTGGATCTGCGGGTAAGGCCCTTTTTCCTCATCTCGTCATGGTATCCCCTCGGAGCTCGTTGCATTTCTAGCCTGTCTCTGCCACTCCTCTCCTCGGGCGACTTTGTCGCGACTTGGACTCGGACGCCTTGGACGCTCGAGCAGGTAACATTGAAGATTGAATCAATCCGATGTCATCTGTGCCCTGCATTTGCGCCTGCAGCCTCCATAGCTTGCTGCCCTGGCTCTGGCATGCGCCTGCGGTGCCAGTCGCTCTCGGCCTTGTCTCGCCCAGCGCACCTCCATACACATCTGTTCTGCATCTTGATTCACCCTGTCTCTCCTTGCCATCGTCGTCGCTCTGCCGGTTCATGCAAAGCACTGGAACTGGCGCAGTCGGCAAGGACCACTCTGCATGCGATATCCGTGAGTCCGCCGCCTCCGCCCTGGCCGTTCAACGTTGGCTCTGGAGCTCCCTGCTCTGTGTGGCCTGGCGCGTCTGGTTCGATTTTAAGGCGATTTTAAGGCCGTATCGCCGACGCCGTCTGGAGGGCGAGGGCAAAGGCGCAGCCGGCTGCGGCTCCAGTTTTGCATCAGCATCAGCATCAGCATCGGCACCAGCACCAGCATCTGCATCTGCATCTCCATTTTCTCCTCCCGTCGCGTCCAACATTGCCGATTTGGATCCAGTTGCTAATAATACTATCGTGGTCAGGCCTCGAAGCTGTGTTCCCTCCCACCGGCGCCGTCCACTGCATCTGTAGACCCGTTCGTTGGCCCTGGCAGGGAATTGACGCCTCAATCCTCGCCAAACACCACTGACCGACGTCATCACGCCCGACACTCCGCGCCCAGGTTTTTCGGTCACTCGTCTCGCCCTTCATCATAACCGCCGAGGCCTTCGCCTGGAAACTGCTTCAAGACGGAGGCATTCACCATTCCTCCATCTGCCGTCTTCTCTGTTCTTGGACGACTGTTCCACCCCCCCTAGGCTCAGTCACCCAACCCCAGAGAAGTTGGGGGGCAAAAAAAAAAAAATTCATACAGACATTCATACGCCATCGCTTTCCTAGCATCCATTCTTCCAAACCTATCCCGCTCCAACTCTGCCCGTGCACGAGCGACATACCGTGCGCCTCAATACGACTTTTCAAACATTCAGAACCCGCATCGGTTCCAGACTCAAAACGGTCGGCAACTGAGACTAGGCGCACCAGCCTGACCCCACGCTGCCACGCGACACTTGAGACACCAGACTCGTCACCGCAACCGTAGCTGCGACCGGCTCATCCCAGCTGGAGACCCTCTCGACATCTCGACATCTCGAGCAATCGCCACCGTCGCCATCGCCATCGCCGCCTCAGCATCCTCAACGACTCCGTCGCCAAACCACCCCCCGCGCGATGGGTAACCAGGCCTCCAAAGAAGGCAACGGTTCCTCCACGGCCAAGGGCTCCGGCTCAGATGGCCATCTACAGTCTTATCCCTCCATGAGCAGGTCCGATACCAAGGAATCGTCTCGATCCTTCCGCTCGCTCCGATCCAAGATTCCGGGAAGCAGCAGCAGCAAGTCCGTAAACAACACCGACAGCCCCAGGAATTCCGCTTTGCTTCCTAACGGCGAGTCCAATAGCGAAAAGGCGCTTGATGCTGCGTCAGTTCGGTCCGGCCGCAGCGGTCGTTCCAGCGCTTCTAGAAACAGCCGCGGTGACCTGCCCAGCTTGAAGCACAACTCTACAGATTTGTCGTCGGCCGACCCGGCCATCTTTGAGCATCAGCCGCCCCCGTCTCCCGTATTGTCGAGCGCAAAGGGCGCTGCTCACGACGTCGCTGCCGCCCAGGCCTCGGGCGAAGTCGACCATGTGTCCGACCAGCCTCCCACTGCAAGCAACGCCAGTGCCACTGCACACATGCTATCACCGGGACAGCCGATTCTAGTGAAGCGAGACAGCACGGTCAACAACATTCAGAACTCACCTTCCATGGACTCTACGACCAAGGTTGAATCTAACGGCAACATGGCCATGTCGGAGATTAAGGATATGGACCTTGACGACTACATTAAGAGGCTTCTGGACGCAGGCTACGCCGGCAAGGTGACCAAGAGCGCGTGTCTGAAGAATGCAGAAATTGTGGCCATTTGCCAGCGGGCTCGCGAAGTTTTTCTCTCGCAACCAGCATTGCTGGAACTCGATGCGCCGGTCAAGATTGTTGGAGATGTCCACGGCCAATATACGGATCTCATCCGCATGTTTGAAATGTGTGGCTTTCCGCCTATGGCAAACTACCTCTTCCTGGGAGACTACGTCGACCGCGGCAAGATGTCGCTAGAGACCATCCTGCTGCTGCTCTGCTACAAGCTCAAGTTCCCCGAAAATTTCTTTTTGCTCCGCGGGAACCACGAGTGCGCCAATGTGACACGAGTGTATGGGTTCTATGATGAGTGTAAACGGCGGTGCAATGTCAAGATTTGGAAGACCTTTATCGATTGCTTCAACACGCTGCCCATCGCGGCCATTGTAGCGGGCAAAATTTTCTGCGTGCATGGTGGGCTTTCACCCGCTCTCAGTCACATGGACGACATTCGAAATATTGCTCGGCCGACCGATGTTCCCGACTACGGTTTGCTCAACGATTTGCTGTGGTCTGACCCCGCAGACATGGAACAGGATTGGGAAGCAAATGAGAGAGGCGTCAGTTATTGTTTCGGCAAACGCGTCATTACTGAGTTTCTGGCCGTACACGATTTTGACCTCATATGCCGAGCACACATGGTTGTTGAAGACGGCTATGAATTTTTCAATGACAGGGTCTTGGTTACCGTGTTTAGTGCGCCAAATGTGAGTTGGCACTTTTGGCTTTGCATGTGTATTGTTGGCGATGTACTAACTAGATTCTGCAGTACTGTGGCGAATTCGATAATTGGGGAGCAGTCATGTCTGTGTCTTCTGAGCTACTTTGCAGTTTTGAGCTCCTGAAACCGTTGGATTCAAGCGCTCTCAAGAGCCACATCAAAAAGGGACGTAACAAGCGACAGCAGATGCTCAACAGTCCTGTAAGTATTTGTTTATCCCTCTCCTTTTTTTTAACAAGAAAAGCACTCGGCTAATTCTTCAACAGCCCGCCAGCGTACAGCCTCAAAGTGTGTAATCGTCCCTTGACCATGGACGTAAAATCAATGTGTGCCATTGTGCCTTGCATATTTCAACAAAGGGGATGGACTGCTTAACATACATTGGCGCATTAGTTGGGTGTCCAGTATTCTGCTGTGTTCTGAGATCGACACACAGTTACCTATGGCCCGACAGCCGCATGAGAAACGGTCGTAAAATTGAGTCGACAAGAGAAGCGGGCTATCCTTATATGTGGGAGTAATATCCATACAGTGGGCGGCGTCCACTTGCCTCTATTCTGGCGTTTGATAATAAGGCTTTGGGCCTCGGATCTGGAACGGTCCGGGTTTTCTCTTGCCTTGATTTTGTCAGCCTCCGTGTTTAATTTCGATGATCCCGAGCGAGCACGAGCTGGGTCCCCGGCTTTTGAAGTGTGCGATTGATACGAGAACCGAATGAATGGAGATGGGGTCCAGACTTTGACCATGACAATTAGACCATTGTTTATATTTTTTTTTCGGGGTGGTGGAGGAATAGGAGGCCCTGCAACCCGGCCCTTTGTTGTACGATTTTTATCCATTTGGTATTTGCCTGACGATGGGACAGGCAATGGTCGCATTTACATGAAAGAGGTGGAGTCCGCGGTGGTTGGCCTTTGCAAGAAGCGCTGCTCGCAGTGAGGAGTTTGGAGTTGGACGTTGCTCAAGTCTCACATGATGTTTGTAATTAGATGATCCAACAGCAGCCTCATAATATACATGGATATGAATTCACATAAATTTGCCTGCTTCGCCTGCGTTGATGAAAACAAAGATGCGCTCATGAACAGCTACCCTATTGCGTCTAGAGGTATGGGCACACTTGACCGCTTACCTAATCGGGCAACCGCGCAGAAAATTGTCCCTGAGCATCAAGCTCCCTCTCTCCGTGACCATCTCCAAGACACCACCCTCCCCATAACGCAAACACACCCAAGCGACCATGAACCCCCTAGCCCTCCGCTCGGTGTGCGCCCGAGCAAGGCCCGAGGTCCAGCGAACCGGGTACGCACTGAAAAACTACTTTCGCGACTTTTCCACATCCCAATCGCTCGCGGCAGACGAAGCCTCCACGCCGACTCCCCCATCACAGCCGTCGGTCCGCCAACGAACGAGAGACGCCGCCAGCGAAATCAGTTCCCTCGTGAAAAGGGGTCGCGGAGGATCAAGGGGTAGCTCCAGAGGCGGCGGCTCCTCTGGCCAGCGGCAGGCTGCACAACCGCCGGCCGGATCTGGCCCCAAGGTCATTGACGTCAAGAGCCTGCCCAAGGGCCTGTCGCGAGGACGCGGCGGCTTCCGCGGGAGAGGAGGAGGAGGGCAGGTCGGCGCCGTGCCGTCGCAGGGGCAGCCGCATCGCGCGCAGCCGCCCGCCGGGAACAGGTTCTCCCGGCCCTCTGGCGGGAGGGGATCTGCCCTCCGCGGCGGGCGAGGCGGGCGCGGGCGAGGAGCGGCCAGGGGCGCGGCCAGGGGCCGGGACGACGACAAGGACAAGCAGAAGAGGCTCGGCAGGCGCCAGGACCCGTTTGAGGCCATGGACCCGTACGAGGAGCAGTTCGACAGGGACATGCGGTTCGGGGCGGCGACGGCGTACGCGCCGCGCCTGACGATGGGGTCGCTGGCGCCCTTTGCGCCGGCCACGCCCTCGAGCGCCGCGGGGAGGCGGGCCACCGTGCTGGGGAGCCTGAGCGCGCTGGGGACGGCGGACCCCGTGGGCGTGCCGCAGGACCTGCAGGCCCGTAGCTACGCGGAGGACTTGGAGAGCGAGGGGCTGCGGTTCTTTGCCGACGCCAAGGCGAGGGAGGCTGCGGAGCGCTATCTCCAGGAGAAGAGAGCCGAGGGCGGGGGCGAGGGCGAGGGCGAGATTATCCGCGATGCGGGGGAGAGTGTGCGGAGCGTCGTCTTGGACAAGGCTGTGCGCGGCGAGCATGAGAAGATGGTGTTTAGGGAAGGGCCCGTGGGCGTCGCGAGGAACTGGCATTTGAGGGCCGAGACGTACACGGGCAAGGATGTGGAGAGCTTTGAGAACAAGTTGAACTCGCTGGTGGGCAAGGGCGCTGGCAAGAAGGGGGAGAAGAAGGCCGCGGCCACGGCATGAGCTGAGTTCCCATCTCGACTGTACATCAGTGTATTATAAATCATTGGGCTGGAAGCATTTTTACCAGCTGTCCCGCGTAGCTTAATACGGCTTCTCATCACAAAACTGCAAGGCTTCCACAATCGTCCACATCTATATGTATACAGTAGAGTACATACAATCGTACACGTCCCGCGGCGTCGGGCTCCTAGTTCCGGTCCAGCCCCTTGATGGCAGCACTCTCCTCGCCGTCAATCTCCTTCATCTTGCCGTCCTGCAGCTTCTGCAGCTCCCTCTCGGCCCTCCGCACGACGTCCTTGAGCACGGTCCCGTCCTTCTGCCACCCCTTGAGCACCTTGTCGTGCCTGGTCCTCGCCTGGCGCACCTTGTCCCTCCACGCGTGCGTCGTCTCCTTGACGCGCCGCACCAGCTCCTCCCTCCTCTCCAGCTCCACCCTGAGCAGCAGCTCGAGGTCGTTGTCGTCGGACCGCTGCGGCTGCTGGTTGAACTCGCGGCTGGACTGGACCGCGCTCATGATGGGCTTGATGTACTCCCTGTCGTTGACGAGGAGCGAGATGGTGCGGTTGGTCCGCGGCACCACCTGCGCCAGCTCGCGGAGCGGGAACGTCGACGCCTCGCCCGAGGCGGACTTGATTGTGATGGGGAGCGCGCCCAGCGCCGACGGGTTGAACCGTCCGCCGTGGAGGATCGTCTGGAGCGCCGACTTGTAGTGCGTGTCTTGGGGGGCGAGCGAGGCCACGAGCGAGGAGAAGTCGAGCGGGTCTTCGGGGTTCGGAGACGGCGACGAAGGGGAGGGCGAAGGCGGAGCTTGCGCGCGTGGGGGCGAGTTGCTTGCTGCTGCGATTTTGCGTTTCTTCAGCACCGGCACCGAGGCGTGGAATGGGCGTCTCGTCAGGATGGGTTTTCTGGCGGCGTTGTGTGTTAGAGGCGTTGTCGGTTGGGGAGGAGGGAGGCTTACGCTTCAATTGAGACTGTGAGGCGGACTGCTCGTCGGAGGAGCAGCTGAGCTGGGCTTGGGAGTGCCATCATGAGTTATAGTGAGGTTGTGGTTGCTTGTGGTGTTGACGAGGGATGGAGCTGAGGTTGGTGTTTTGCGATAAGATAAGCGGAGGTCCAGCGGAGCTCTGGCAGCTTCCGGTTTATGTTCCCGGGCGCAATTCTTTTGCACGTGCCGGACGGTATGGCGTTGGAATAGCCGGTTCTTGTGACATCAATTGATGTAATCATGTTGGGAAGGTGCGTTGCACGTCGATCCTCCTGAATGCGCACAACCTGTTGTGCAGTTGCTGGGTGCAGTCGCCAGACAGACTTGTTTAGCCGCCAATTCGCAAACCGGCGCAACCTCCCCTCCTCCTTGTATTTATACCTAAATATGCAGAAGGTATAAAATCAAATAGGATGCTTTCCATACATTTTTATTAAACGTCTTTTAAAACGGAATTACAAGTCGAGGCTTGTTGAAGCACTATAAAAATTGTGCTAACCCGATTAGTATGATTAAAATCAGGCCTCGCTATACTTGCCTACATACCAGGTAGGCAGTTGCTTCCCTATGGACATACGCATGCCGACTTGACTTGTCAACACTGAAAACCAGTCTAAACACGCAGCAAAAGGAAGGATAGAACGCTCAAGGTTTAATAGCAAAAATAAAAAGTAATGTCCACACCAGGGATCGAACCTGGGACCTCTTGTGTCCTATAATATCGAAATATTTGTAAGACAAGCGTGATAAACCACTACACTATACGGACGAAAGGATGGCAGAGAAAATTTTATTTACTATTATATACGTGTAGTTCTGGGCAGCCAGGAGACCTAAAGGAACTTTGAGACAATAACCTTGGTCTTTTAGTAGCTCTATAGACTAATAAGTTACATATTATTATTATCAAATACTAAGTTAGATAAACCACTTTTTCTAGTATACTAGCCCCTCTTTTATATCCAGAAACAGAGGTGTAGGAAGAGACAGGCCTCAATAAGGATAAAGGAGTCGCTGAGCCCATGGGTACGACTTGAGACTGTTTTGTTTCAAGGATGTTGAATTTGACGTGAATTTTGGCTTTTCAGTCCGCTGACATTCCCAGCCTCTTTATTGCTGATACCCGGTTGTCCCTTCTTAGCACCCTTCAGCAACGTCTGGTTCAACCCGCCCGCCGTGATACCAGGCTACCTTGATATTGACTCGATTCGGGGTATTTGCAAACTCTTCTATATCCTGGGTACCTAGAGGTAGGCATCTATTAGATCGCCATTCTTCGTTTCCCCTTTCACCAGCTATATCTTATTCTTGGCAATGCACTTGTTCATTGCAACCCGAGTTCTTGTGTTGTCTCAGCTCTCGCCTTCTCGGTCACGGTCTCTCACATTTTGGTCCTCACTGTACATCTTATACAAGGCCTGCATTGACGTATGGCAATTCATAAATCTCAATGACGTGAATCTTTTGGTTAGGCCAACCTTTTCACCGACAACAGCGTGTTGAGTTACCATAAAATGCTACACAATCATCAACTACCACGTAATTCACAGCTCCATATTTTCTCGTGCTTAGCGATCCTTTGGCCGTCGGAGGCATTTTACATTTTCGCCAATCTTTTCCGAGCTTCACTCACTCCATCTAACTCTGTAACGGCGATCCCATTCCTCCAAAGGTAATCATCTTGGTAACCTGGTACTCGGCAATACCATACTTGGAGCCCTCACGACCGAAACCACTCTCCTTGACACCGCCAAATGGAGACGCAGGATCGGAGATGATGCCCGTGTTGACGCCAACCATGCCGACTTCCAGCGCCTCGGCTATCCGGTAAACGCGGTGAAGGTCCCGTGAGAAGAAATATCCAGCAAGACCAACCTCGACCTTGTTCGCCATCTCGACAACCTCGGCTTCCGTCTTGAATGGGAACAGTCCAGCGACGGGGCCAAAAGTCTCCTCTGTAGCCATGGCCATGTCGGGTGTCATGTCACGGATAACAGTTGGCTGGAAGAAGTTGGCCCCCAGATCGGGCATTTTTTGACCGCCAGCGATAACCTTGCCACCTTTTGACTGGGCGTCCTTGATGTGAGCCTCGACCTTGCTGACGGCGCGGTCGTGGATGAGGGGTCCGTGGGTTGTGCCGGCTTCGAAACCATTTCCGACTTTGAAAGCATTCACCTTTTCCGTAAACTTCTTGACGAATTCGTCGTAGACGCCCTCCTGGACGTAGATTCGGTTGGCGCAAACACAGGTTTGGCCGGTGCCGCGGAACTTGGAAGCAATGGCGCCAGCGACGGCAGTGTCGAGGTCAGCGTCGTCGAAAACGATGAAGGGGGCGTTACCACCGAGCTCCATAGATAGCTTCTTGAGGGTGCCAGACGACTGCTTCATGAGGAGCTTGCCCACACCTGTAGAGCCGGTGAATGACACCTTCTTGACGGCGGGGTCGGTGGTGAGAACCTCGCCGATTTCTGGGGTGTTGGAGAGGGTGGTAATGACGTTGACGACGCCCTTGGGGATACCTGCCCGGTGACCAAGTTCAGCGACAGCCAGTGCAGTGTAGGGAGTCTCGCCGGGAGCTTTGCAAACGACTGTGCAGCCAGCAGCCAGTGCAGGGGCGACCTTTCGAGTGATCATGGCAGCAGGAAAATTCCATCTATTCCACTCGTCATTACAGAGCAGAAAAAACCAGCACGCAGGGGGTTCTTACGGGGTAATCAGCCCACACACGCCAACAGGTTCCTTAACCGTCCATACCCTGTTGCCAGGTACAGTGGCAGGAATAGTATCGCCATAGGTCCGGGGAGCTTCCTCGCTGAACCACTCGAAAAAGTTGGCAGCATAGGCAGCCTCGCCTTTGGCCTCGGCAACGGGCTTTCCGTTCTCCCAGGTGATGAGCTTGGCGATATCATCAGCATTCTCCACCATCAAGTCGTACCACTTGCGAAGCATCTTGGCACGCTCACGGCCCGTCAGGCTGCGAAAGGCAGGGAAAGCATCGGCAGCAGCCTTGATGGCCAGCTTGGTGTCTTGCGCGTCGCACTCGGCGCAGGTACCAATCAAGGTGCCCGTGGACGGATCTACATACATGGGCATCATCAGAAACTCGGTTACTCGCACAACAGCGCAAAAAGGGGCATGAAGAAATGCATACCATTGACGTTGAATGTCTTGCCAGACGTGGCAGCCCTCCATTCGCCATTGATATAAGCAACATTCTGCTTCAGCAACGACGGATCTCTCAACTGCACGGCACGGTTACTATACAAGGTTTCCGTTACGTCATAGCCGCCAACAATGTATTCGTACCTGAGGAGGCATCGTAGACGCCCGCCTAGCAAGAATCAATGAAATACTCGGGGAAAAGCGCAACTTGGACGTCGGAGCCGCGATTCTCTGCAGCAACGCCATTGGGGGGGGACCGGCCACGAATGAGCTCCGTCTGTCTGTCAGGAGCTCACCAGCTTCTAACAGCAGCAGCAGAGAAGAAAGTCCACGAGGCCCGGTGTAGCTTTTGGTCACTGAGTCTGTGTCCTGTCCAAGCCGTAGGCCCTTGAAGCGCTTGGGATTTTGATCAAGCGTAAATGTAAGTGTAAGTGTAAGTGTAGAAGAAAGAAAAGCCAATGACGGTGGGAAACCAGTTGGGGAAGCTATGTGAGCAGGGGCGTGGAAATTACTGGTTCTGTCGGGCCGGGGTCGACACACTGTGAATATGCGGGGAAAGCTGGGGGAATATCAATCAGGTACTTGAGTACCTAGGTACCTTACTTACTACTTAAGTAGGTAGGTACCTACAGTACTAGTAATTGCGTGTCAAGACTCAACAGGCGCTACTGGGCCAACATTGAATGCACAAAAATGACCAAGCGGCGTCAATCCAGCCAGCATTCCGCAGTACCCAAGTAGATGGTTTTTGTCTCACGGCACAGTGCACAGTGCCATTTACCCGCTGGCCTCAGTGCTGGCTCTTCAACGTTCGGACCGGCTCACGCGAAGTCGGAGCCGCCATGGCTCGCGG